GAGTATGAAATATTGTAAGCTATTGTACATATTTTTCACAATCCAAATTGGTCTGAGACAGATGCTCCTGCTAACCCAATGTTTTCAAAATTAGAACATTAGGAGAAATAATAGATCTAATTAAGATAAGCTCAATATTTAGAATATTTCTGTAAGACATCATGAATTAAATAAGAAAAAATTAATAATAATTATTATTTGTCTTTTTATGGAGCTAGTTTTATTTATTAATCAAAACTTCTATTTATAAAAGGGATTTAAATTTTGTTTAGTTGTTTAAATTTGAACTCAATAAAATAGAATTATTTTCTAGTTAAACAAAATTTTTAATTAACTAATTTTCTTTATATTAATATACAATACTTTTAAATTAATTATCTTTAAATTTATTCTTTTTCTTTAATTACCTTTATATATATATATAGATATTATCAAGAATAAGGTGATAAATTAGTTAACTAATTTTAATTAGATATTTTATTCATTTATATAACAAAATGCTAAAAAAATTAAATTATATCTCTACTATTAATATACATATTATTTCAATAATGTTAATTAAATATATAATTTTGCAATAATGATTAATTAAACGAATTAAGTAAATTATATATCTAGTCAATATTATTTTTATTATTTTCTTAATGAGTCTTTCATTTTTAAATAATCATAAGTATTTTACTTATAATAAATTGTAAACTGATTATAGATTATAGAAAGATGTTATTTTAATTAATAATATAAAATATAATATTTATGAGTGAAATGAATTGCACTAAATTAGCAATTTTTAATGAAAACCCTTTAAAAAAATAGCATTTGTATTAAAAACATAAAGAATTAGAGGTTATATTAAGCTCTCCTTAATTAAATAAAAAACATATTGTATTTTGTAAACGAATTGAATAACTTGATTTAAGTAACTAAGGTTTAAGTGAGATTAATAAAGAAAAGTTAAATAATATATGGATTATTAAATTAGATTTGTCTCATAATTGCATTCGATTATATGGTGATGAATTTAAGATATTATAAAATTTAAGAATATTAGATATATAAAATAATTATCTTAAAATTTTACCTTTTAATGTAATGTCTTTCATGTGATTTTTAGTTTAATAAATTTCATCCCCAATTATAGAATTTAGATATTTCAAATAATTATCTCACTATTATGCCATAAATGCCAGATGAACTAATTTCTAGCTAATTTTACATTAGTTGCAAACCTAAATCTTATGGTTGTTTATGGAAACTTATTCGAAAAAATAATAAAGACATTTTTTCTGAATATTTTTAGAAATCTAGAAATAAGTTATATTAATATAGAAAATAAATATATCAACCCAAAAACTAATATACATGTTGTTTCAATTTAACAAAATAATTGAATGCTTCATTTATGAAAATTAATTAACCTAATTACTTTACAATGAGTAAATCACCAAATAATTATTTTAACATATAAGATGCTCCTTTATTGAAGGAAGGAGATAATGATCATATAGAATATTCAGATAGTTCAATTGATTCGCATGAAGAAACAAAAGGCTTATTACCTGTTAATTGGAGTCGATATGACTGTAATAATGAAATGAATGCTCCTAAGTTATTCATAGAATCAAATAGTCTTGTAATCGAAAAAGAAACTCATAAAGGGAATTCAAAAATTAAATAGATGGCAACAGCTTATTACAAGTATATGTTTAGGAGCTAAAAAATATTTTGGAACATATCCTCAGAATAATTTCTAATTTTTTTATAATATCCTTGGATACAAATATCACACCACTTGATGGAGAATTAAAGAAGCAAATAGAAGAGCAAATGGGCGTGGATTATGGTTTGATTGAGAATTATCACGGATCTAATGTCTATATTATGTA